TGATTCAATCGCGCAGTCCATTCGTTGATCCGATCGCGAATCTGAATGCTGTCTCAGAAAAGTGTGAGAGTGAGGAGTTTCCGCCCCACATGTTTGTGGGATTGATATAAAGAGGTTTTGATATAAAGAACATAACTTACAAAAGAGCAAGAGGCCTGCTTAGCTCAACACTATGAACTCGTACTAACTCGAACTTCTTGAATAGCTTCGTTTTTAGTCTGCACCACGAACTTTGGTAATGAATGGAGAGACCGTACAACATTGTGATATGCATGCCTACGACAATGAGGCGTTTTCCAAATTGCTAACACAGACCAGGTATCAGAATTGGATTATAGAATGAGTAGTTTCGTTCGCTGCGGATGACGGGGCGCATCGGAGCGCTGGGCTTGACATACGCTAGTTCGTTTTCCAGCAATCGTTGGAGGGGGCAGTCGATAACAGTTGATGGGAAATAAGCTGGTGCCAACTCCGGTCAATGTTGTACATAACGCGGAGATTCCGACCACACGGTCTCAGGCAGCTTTGGGTGTTGGGCAGTTTGGGTGTGTATGGTCATCATCCTTGCAAAAAACAAGGTTTTGAGGAGCGTGGGTTGGATCCCAGTAGAACAGGCTTCTCGCCAATTGTCGCGCGCTCACAGATGGCATCATTGGTGGAAAGGCCGCCGTGAAAGCGCTCTACCACGCCCAGTCACAAGCTCTGTCTTGGTAGGGACCATGTCTGTTGAACCACGCATTAGTACGCAACATCTGCGCTTGCTTTGAGACCACGTTGTCGTGTTACACGTGAGCTGAATGCTTTCCTTTTCCTTTGTTTTACCTTCCAACTCACCAATTCCGCTACGTTTTTATACTTCAGGTTTGGAGAGAAAGGTAAAGGTCAGCAAGCTATAGATGAATTACGTAAAGAATTAGGACTGCCACCAGTTCCACCAGAATCGATAACATATCCTCCTTATGAGAGGGTAAGCGTTACTTTCTTGGTATACAGTTCCACTCTTTCCTAAACATTTTTTTCTAAATTTTCAGTCGCTCTCAGCTCGAGTTGGTTCGTTGGATAACGGAGGATGTGCTTTTGCAATGCGTAATGCTGTTGAGAGTGGGTCATTTGAGCAGAAGCGTTTTGTTGGAGGTGAGAAGGAGGCGATTGGAGAAGACAGTAAAGAGGATTGTAGTAGAGGCCAGTAAATGAATGTGTATGTGGAGAAAGCTTAAAAATGAAAATAAGAGTATTTTTATCAGAAGTTTCTGATGGCAAGTAAAGCGTGAGCATCTTGACTGCTACAGTTTTGTTTAGCTAACGATAACCATCAGTGAATCCATCTGTACACCTCGGATTTGCTGCATTTCTGCAGTCCTTGCCTGCCATCGGTTACTTCTGTTAGCATAGTTTTGAAGTGTGCATTGCTCTCTGCGTTACGATTGGCAACTACTTTCAAGCCTGACATCCATCAGCAAGCATCATTCATCTGAGCGCTCTTGGTTTTTAGGCTCCTTAAATCAGCCGAATAACAAACGAGGCACAACTCTTCCAAATCGTCGTGGTTTGGGGTCACAAGTGGAAACCATTTCACACCGGTCACTGATCAATCCGTTTCGACCGGATCAGTTCTACGTTAGAATCACGGCGAACCGTCGTCGATGGATACATGTTTTCCCGGTTGACGAAATGGTAAGAAATGAAT